TTTTCTTCCTAACTTCTTTCTTAAAATGCATCTTAAATCAGAACAATAGCTGTGAATTCCTCTCTATAATTTACATCAATAATGGATGTCTAGTGGCTAATTTATAATAGCGAGTATGAACAAATTAAATTTTTGTTTTTATCTTTAAATAGGGATTCACATAGCCATTTGACATAGCTATTTTAAGACAGACCATCTGTTTTGAAAAGTGAAATAAAATTCAGGTAAATCCAGGTCTGTGGGATGCTGCTTTTAGAATATCTAAAATAGCCAACAACCTAATTTTGGAACCTAAAACCAGAGTGATGCTGAATGCGAGACACTGATTTAATTTAGAAAGAAGAAGAAGACTGAAATGCATCTGCTTGTTTATCCTTTGAGCCTTTGATCTGATCACTGCTGATATCAGATTGTCCCAAAATGTAGGAAATGTCACTACAAAACCAATTTTGTCTGATTACAGTTTGTATATCCAGTCACATGGCATTCACTCACCAATCTCACAGTTGCTCCCAGTGAAGCCAGATGCACATGTGCAGGTGTAGGAGCCCAGGATGTCTTTACATGACCCCTGGTTCAGGCATGGCCCTGACATACACTGATTACCATCTGAGGAAATCCAAACGGAGAACTTGAAATTAATTTGATATTATATATTACATATATTGATTTATATTATTTTTTTAAATTTTATATTATATTATCATTATATATTATACATAAATATTAAAGGAGTAAAAAAGTAATTGGCCCCTTAACCTAATAGCTGCTCAGGGCACCCTTAGAATTACTGTCAAACCTTTGATAAGGTTCTTTAACATCACTCGGAGGTATTTTGGCCCACTTTTCTTCACAGAAAATAGTCTTAATTCAGCTATAATGGAGGTTTTTCCCAGCATGAATCATCCAGGTCCTGAAGCAAAGCAACCCCAGACCTTCACACAACCACCAGCATGTTTAACTGTTTGACTGTTCTTTTTAAGAAATTATGTTTTAGCTTTATGCCAGATGGAGACGCAAACCTTCCAGCTTTTGTCTCATCTGTCCACAGAATAAAATAAATGGGAGATGAGCTTTTGTGTTGTTTTTTCATATTAACCTTGGAACTCTCCCACAGAGGTAGTTTGCACACAGAGGCCTCTTTCTTATTGTTGAACTCTGACCTTAACGGAAGCAAGTGATGTCTGCAGATCTTTAGATGTTGTTCTGGGTTCTTTTGTGACCTCCTGGATGAGTTGCCGATGTGCTCTTGGAGTAATTTTGGTAGGCTGGCCACTCCTGGAAAGGTTCATCTGTGTTTTTCTAATTCTGGATAATAGTTCTCACGGTGCTTTACCAGAGCCCTAAAGCCTTAAAATGGCTTTGTAATGCTTTTGAAAGGGTTAGATTGGGATGTGTTCTTTTAGCTTACTTGAGCTCGGCAGATAGAGAATTATTGACGTCTGGCAGTCATCAGGCCTGGGTATGCTTAGTGAAATTGAACCCAGCTTTCCAAAATGTGTTTAAAGAGGGGGTGGGTATGACTTCTTCTTTAGATAGTATTTAGGTTTAGATAGTATTTTTTCCTCTTAATAAATAAAAATAAAAAAATAAATATTTTCTTTTAATACAAAATACATTTTGTATTTCTTGGGTTATCTTTGTCTAACATTAAAATTTGTTTGATGTACTGAAACACGTAAGTGTGACAAATATACAAAAATCTAAAAAATCAGGGAGGTGAAAATATTTCATTATATTTTGCATTTACAGAAAAACATGCATAAATATACATAAAGAATATCTAAGAAATACATGGTAATGTTACAAGATAAAAGACAAACCTTTAGTGTTTAAGTTTTAAAACTAGGACCGATAAGTAGTTTACCTAAAAAGATGCTCACATTCAATCATTTATTAAGCACACTCTTACCTGTATATCCTGCCCAAAATTCCATCTACAATACAGAGTAAAGTCAGTGATCGGTGCAGCCAGCAAAGCCAAATAAAATCAAAGTAAGTGAATACTCACTGTCTTTTCATCATTCTCGAATGTCTCCCTCGCCTCTTCTAGGTCGCATAATTCCTCTATACACTCTCTCTCCAGGTTTCCCTGCAGAAACTCCTCAAACAGTCCAGTGTTGTAACGTTTGTGTCTGCGCAAAATGCTGTCAGCTGATTGACCGGACAGAAACACTTCATCCGCAGATGGAGCCGGAGCTAGAGTAAACAAAGGAATAAGAGAAAGCTAGTTCGTGTTTATCCACTGGTTCATTTCGTAAGTCAAAAGCAACTACTTCTTAAAGTAAATGCTGCTAAGAACATCACTAAAATGTCACAATACCTCCAGAACCCAGCCGAACATTTAAAAGCAGAAAATGCAGCAAAGACACAGAAATGAGTCCCATTCCAAATTTTTCTGCCATCCTGACAGAAACACTCTCAACTCCTACTCCAAAGTACAATCTGTGTTTGCACATGTGCACCAACAATTAATCGAATGTTTGTTCAGAGAAAAAAAAACAGTCTGTCAGGGAAAAACTAGAGTGTCGACATCCACTGGCACAAAAGACACTATATTTTCTCCTGAATACAAGGATAGTCATTTATAAATGGAAGAACTGTGAGAAATTTAACTGATTACTTACATTAAGGAAACAGGGGTTCTGAAAATGGTATACTGAAACCAGTCAGCTGCAATGACTTATGTCCTGGTTTTTAACCTTTGCTCCAAGGACAATTTTCAGGCTCCAGCTCTGTCATAAGCCTGAGCTAATATTACCTTTGTGCAAAATTATGGCATTTGACCCATTGTTGTGCTAAAATCATGCCATAAGGTTGATTTGTCCATTAATTATTTGTAAGTCAGTCCATTTAAAATGTGTTATTAACATGTACATGGCATTAAAATCTCTCCCAGTTCGTCTATATACAGTTACGCATAAGCAGTTATTTAATTTGCCTAACAGAGGTAGAAATAAAATTCGTCCAATATTGTGTGTCGTTTTCAGAAAACTCGCCAGGACTTGTTGGTGGCCAGACCACAGAAATTAATTTATCAAGTGTACTTCAAACTTTGCGCCACAAGATGGCGTCCACACACCTCAGTAAGGGAGGTAGGCGACAGGGTTTACGACGATACTTCACTGCAGAAAGGAGTCTAAGAAACATCATAATACTACACATGTGTGAAGGCCGTATAATGTAAAACATGGAATTAAATCACTTTTTTTTGGAAAAACAGTTTTAAATGTATTATTTTTTAACTCAATTCTTCAAAATAAATAAATAAATACATAAATAATGCAGTGAAAATAACGGAAAAGAAGAATCTACAGTACTGTACAAAAGTCTCTTGTGCTTCCAATAAGCGAGGCTTGCTTGTAATTTTTTTTAAGTGACAAAAACCAAACAAACAAAACAAAGTTATCTACAGCAGACAAACAGTATCACAAAGTCATGTCCTTGACAAATAGGAAAAAATCCAATAAAGGCCTGACACAGGACCTGAGAGATGCATCTGGGCTTCATTGATCCATCTACTGTTCACTGAAACCACATCAGAAATGGTCTCAGTGGAAGGGTGGCTGGTGAAAAGGGAGTGTACGGAAAGGCGGGAAAGGTTGAGGTTTGCCAGATTACTTAAGAAGTGGAGTGAAAAAAACAGTGGGCACAGGTCTTAGGGAGCTATGAATCCAAGTTCATCATTTTTGGTTCAAATCATTATCTTTCATGGTTTTAGTCTCCAGTGCTAGTGCTTTGATGCAATTAGAAATATGCCACCATATGTTGCTTGCATAGGAGAAAGCTGTATAGGTCCTAATTATACCATTACATTCCCAGAAACTTTAATAAAATTATATTACTGATGATGAAGGAGAAGAAAAATTGAAGAACAGCATTTATAAGTGTAAATAAATAAGGGGTATTTTCCATCATTTTCCAATAAGCTGCTGTCATTGATGACACACTTCCTCATTCAAAGTGTGACTTTATTGAGACAAAGTGCCAGAGAGCAGCATCAGTATTATAATACAGGGTGGGCCATTTAGAAGTCGGCCATCTTGGATACAACTTTTGTTT